ATCATCACGTACTACGCATGGAAGTGAGATAGCATGACCTATTTTTTGTTTTTAATTTTATTCTCGTATTTCATTGTATTGAATACATTAGAATAACACTTGTATATAGTATTTAAGATGTTTGGAATTTAACAATTAAAGTATTAATGTGAATTTAGCACATATATTATAATGAAATGAGATCGACAATGTAAAACGAAATTTATTGCGAGGAGATCGGCAAAAGGCATGATAATGCGCAGATACTGCGATAATGAATGCTCTTTTTTTTTTTATTATTAGAGAGAGTGTGGTTCTTGTATGTTTTCCCTTTCGAATTTTTATGCTTTTATAGCAAGTAGAAAGGTAAAAACCACCATGACATTCGTTGATGCTTTTATAGCAAGTAGAAAGGTAAAAACCACCAAGTAGAAAGGTAAAAACCACCATGACATTCGTTGAGTCATGGTGCCCTGGGATCGCCTCAGAGGACACGTGTTAGGTTACAAGAGAGACTTTTCCGCATGCACGGTAACAAGTGGGCGGTTAACCTTTGCCACATAGGGAGGTATGAAGGAAGTCTCGTCTGATCAATGTATTAGATCGACAGATTGGCTTTGCAGAGAGACCTCAATGTGAATTTAAACAGATCAACTCGAGGTTCTGTCAGGCTAGTTTTGATATTTATTAGAGTGATTAGTGTATTCAATTGAGATTTTAAATAACATTTTAAGATCTTTTAAGATTTTCAAATTTTAGAAGAATACTATTAAATCATAAGTTTTAAAGTGGATTTGATGTAAAAAAAATTCTTTAGAAATCTCACAAAATATTAAAAAGTCTTAACAAATTCTAGTCTCAAATAAATTAAATACCTCAAGATTTTGTAAGACTTTTTAAAAAAAATCTCAATTAAACACCCCAAAGCTTTTAAAATTTTTGAAAAGTTGAAACTGAATACACCAAGATTTCTAAAGTCTTAAAAAGGTTTTAGAAATCTCAATTGAATACACCCCAAACATGATTTTATGCTAAGCAACATGACTAAAAATCCTGAAACTATATTTATATTAGTCATTCATTCAACAAATGATCAAACACAAGCAAGGATTGAATATGTAAATGATATAGGTGATGAGATCTCAACACATCTTGCAACAACGCATAACCCGAAACGACACCGTCTTGCTTCTACTTACCAAGCTATAACTTTTAACAGAAAATGAGAACCTCGACTTTAGAATGCAAATGTAACCACGCTCTAAAAACAAGAAAATAGTTTTTTGGCTGCCCCATCACAATCAGTTTCCCATGTTATATTCCAAAATGATAACACACAATAAAATCTCAAATCTACCTGCAAAATTTGTCGCGTCCCAGAGACCTTTGCGACATTTTCCGGGCNCCAAAGATGAAACGCCTCGCCCAGTCAGATATCACCAAAGCCCTCGTGCGCCAGCTCACTAGCTTGCTGTGTACAGACAAAAAACATAGTAGAATCAGCCAACTTGATGCCAAATGGTAGTCTTATCCTAGTAATCAGCTTTATTTGAGTCGAAAAACTTTGATATATACTAAGACGAGTACTCACCTGGCATACACAGAATACCAGAGCCATTGAGTGCTATGGCCAATCGAGACCCAATCTCCCGGAAGCTGGGCCGCCGTTTGCTCTCCTCCCAATGGAGCAAATTGCCCGAAATGCTTGTACCTTCAGCAAGGGTACAAGAATACACTTGAAATACAGAATGATATTGTGTGCTCTTACGGTTAAACTCGGTAGATATATAAGTGACAAATGTTCAAACAAGCATGAATTTCGAATGTCTAAATCCGTATCAAGCACAAAGAAATTCATTAGAGCTATCTTATAAAAGTAGTTAAGAAGGGCCAAGATATACATAAGTACTCAATTAGGCTTTGTGTTTGCTTATACACCAATAAAATTACATGGAGAAAAAAAGTGAAACCTGAAAGGGCGAAACCGATGTCGTCCTTCACCCCTGAAGCGTAAAGGCCCTTCCGGAATCTTCTCGCAATCCTCCATGCGGTTGAAACAGTCAGCAAGATACGAGCCTTGCTGTGCGGCAACCTGAAAAATTCAGCCAATGAAAAAAATGAGAAATTCTAAAATAAAATATAAAGGCAAAAAAAAAAAGTTAGTATCCATAAGAGTATTATAATGTGAATGTAACCTGGGCAGTAGCCGGGAGATTCTTCATTTGAGAATCGACCTGGGAAAGAGCCAACTTGAATTCCTCGAGATTCACTTCAACCGACTCTTTCACAGCATCTCCTTTGGATTCTTTCAACAGATCAACCAGATTGCTCATCTGTCGATTTTTCAAATAAAGTCCTACTTGTGGATACCTCTCACATATGTCATTAAGCACTTCTTGAAATTCCTTAACAGTAAGTGTGCCTGAGCTGTCTTTATCAGCCTTATGGAATATAGCCCAAATATCTTCCTGCATATATAAACGAGTCGAGGTTAATCAAGATGAACTTAACATGAAATCTTTCTGCTACACACTTTTTTTTAAAGGTCAACAGAGTGCATAAGAACAGCAGATTCTAGATGCACGAAAATTAGTATTATATACAAAGTTTCATAAAGTAACATATATGGCTTTACAAGATGCAAAACTATACAAAGTACTTAGAGCCCTATTGATAATGAATTCAGATATATAAGAAAATGATTAACGAATACCATGACTTTGCGTTGATTTATAGTGGCACAATCTCCGAGTGCGTATATCCTGTCACTTCCCTCTACTCGCAGCCACTCGTCCGTTGCTAGTACACGTCTGTTACCCTGGCCAGCGAAAATTTCAGTTCTCAGCAATCTCGGTTTTTTACTACTCGATTTTAAAGTCAATTCAGCAATAAGCAGAAAAAATACAACTTGCTAGCTGCACATATGCCTCGAAGCTATTACCTGACCAATTTCCTTCATGAAGTCCATTATGACAGGGCGAGTTCCAATTCCGGTAGACCAGACAACCATTCCATACGGCATAGTGGACACGACCCCCCCATTCTTCAATTCTTTGGTGGAGATTTCTTTATCCGATACTTTGACAACCATCGCCCCGGTTTTCACATCAATCCCATCCCTCTGAAATTTCTCCTCGGCAAAAGCCGTGATTCTTTTGTCAAACCTGCAACATTGCATTAAAACCACAATTAACGAGGTAATACCAAAATATTTGACTAATTTGGATATAATCCACAGTAGAGACACACGTCTTACACTAGAGTTGACCTCGATCATGAGCTACACCAATAGTATCATTCTTTTTCTTGGTTATTATTATGATTAAATCAATCGATATATATATTCCAGTACAGCAGTATTAATAAAAGCATCGTTAAATGAGTGTTAAATGAGTTGACTTTAAAGAAACAAGACGCTTACATGTTAAGAATATGGTCCGTAGCTTCAAGAAGAGTAATCTTGACCGCCTCCTTAGCCTTGGGGTACAACTTGACGAGATCTTCGTTCACGTAATCGTGAAGCTCTGCTGCAAATTCCACGCCGGTCGGACCTCCACCAACAACGACAAAGTGAAGGATCTTCTTTCTTTCTTCATCAGTTAGGATAGGCAAACTGGCCCTCTCGAAACAATCAACAATTGTCCTCCGGATTCTCTGAGCATCTTCTATTTCCTGCACGAGAATAAGTTACGCGAACCCATTTCAATAAGCCTAAAACATCAGATTAAATAAAGAGGATTACAGTAAAGACAGATACCTTCAGAAAATGGCAATTTTCAGCCACTCCCGGGATGTTAAATGTATTTGCACGTGCTCCGGTGGCAATCACGAGGTAGTCATAGTCGACAACAATCTCCTCCGTTTCATTCTCATTGCCTGACGGACTTGATCGGCAGTAAACCTTCTTGTTCTCCGCATCGATCTTGAAGCACTCTGCTTCCCAATAATGTATACCTACATTTTTCTGAAGAAAGGGACTGCTAAGTGCTTGAATTTTACAGCAAAAGAACCAAGATACTAAAATGCTTCTTTAAGCAAATAGTACTACATACATAACTTTCCAGTGCTGAAAAACTTACCTTTCTCACTATGTTGCGGATCGGCTCTACAATACTGCGAGGTTCGACCGTTCCGCAGGTCACGCTCGGCAGTAACGGAGTGAAAGCGAAAAAGTTACGTGGCGATATAACTTGCACATCGTACGATGGGTTCTTCAGGTTTTTCAAGAAACTCGTTCCAGCCCATCCAGTTCCGAGCACTACAACTCTTTTCTTCTTGTGATCAGTCTCATTTGAATTGATTACTTTTATTTCGTTTTCCGATTTAGCCTCAGAGAAAGCCACAAGACCCCCACCACTGCATTTATATATATACAGAATGTTGAAATTTGATGCGGTTACGGTCTTGTGTTGTTGCAACTAAATGAAAAAAATCAAGCAGATTGCTCCCCTTAAATTCATAACATGCAATCAATATAATTTTACCAAAAATCCTTCAATTCTCAATTTCCATCATGAAATGATCATCTTTTTGAAGTATATTAGGCATCATGTCCTATTAGAAAACTTGAAGGAGCACTCATCTGACGTCTATAAATATAACACAGCTGATCACATTGAGCTTTTTCATTGTAGCTATTATGCTTTCTATGGGGATTTCTCTTTCCTTTTACCTAGTAAGAAGTCTTCCTTCCTTTGTTACTGGCACAGTTTCTCTAGTTCAGTGAACATGCAATCACTTTCATCTTTTTTATTTTTATTTACTGAAAGAGAATACACCACATTTATTGAACAAGAATAGACAAGTATGACCGCACAATCAATCTAAACTTTGAAGCAAATAAAATAACAAATATAAAATATAATAGCTCATTAGTTTCCATGAGGCCAAATACGAGTCGAGCTGCTCGATAGTCCAAGCTCGATTCAATCTCAAGCACCTCGAACTGGGGTCAAGCTCGGGCTTGTATTTTGTAAGCACGATTTGCTCGACGACCCGCTTGAGTATATATATGTGTAATTACCTAAATACCCATAAGTCAAGTTAAATTTTGGCCTACACTCAGAGCAAAATTCTCCTTAGTTTAGAGTCAACCTCACGCATGAAATTCGAGTCGATCTCGAGAATTTGTATAATATTGTCCAGCCGAGTTAAGCCAAAGCTCATTGAGCTCGAGAACCGATCAAAAAAAATTGAGCTATGCTCGATAAGGGCATTGCTCGACTCAGCTTGTTTGCCTCCAAAAAAGGAACTAAGATTGACTTCCTCCCTAGACAGAGCCAAACCAACACATCTACCCTATTTTTGTAGGTATTACATAAAATGCAATCATTTACAGTTGCTTATTAAGAAACGAGAAATGTGAAAAGCCTAATGAGAACAATCCAAGTCTATCTCAACTCTCAAGCCAAAGGCACTTACACCTTACACCTGAACTCTCCCAGCTCGTCTAGGCCAAAATCAATCGAAAAAATCATACAAAATCGTCCTAAAGAAATATATACCATACGAAACAGAGGAGAACCATTACTTGGGTTGTTCATGATCACGAAATTATATCATCTCAGAACTAATTTATTTCCTAGATTTTAAGGAGGGAAGTACCTCAACATTGCCACAAATAGCACGATCTACCATCGCATAGATCAATCGCAATCAGAATTCAGATCCACATACAATCGCCAAAAAAGAAAAAAAAAACAACACACACGAAACCACCTTAACCAACTCAAACGGCTGAACAAAACAACATCAAACGAGGGAGGTCTCACCATGAACCATAAGTCCAGAACAAAATTTCTCACTAAATCCCACAGCACACAAAACACAGATCATGAGAGCGTACCTGACGGTGAAAACAATCAACATTTTAGCCAGCGAAGGATTTTCCCTGAAAGTCCTTGAAAACCTCTGAAACACCGCCATTTTTTCGCAGTTTCTCAAGGCTCCCGCTCAGCTGCAGATCACCTGAGAATTAAACACAACAACAACAACAGATGAGGAAAGAAATTATCAACTATTCAACTCAAGTCACAGGCTCAAATAAGAAAGAGAAAAGGCCTACTGTCGGGTTTGCTTCTAGAGAGAGAAAATGGGGAGACAGATTTTAGGTAAAAGACAGTCCAAATTGGTAGGTTGAGATTCAGAGCAAATGAAAATGAAGCGCGAGGTTATAGCCCAAAAAAGTGGGAGGAGGGTGCAGGGTAAAGTGGTGGTCCGCGCTGTACACCAACTTTTCTAGGTAATGTGCTCCCAAATTTCTCTCGAGTTTTCAAACTAGCTTGCCATACAAAGACACGTGTCGTTCGAGGAGCTCGGGCGTGGCACGTGCGTGGTGCGCGGGCCCTACGTGGCTGCTATAATATAGAGCTTTCGACGCGGAAGGTAAATCTGGTGACAGCTAACGGCTTTTGTGTATCGTGAGTTGAAAGTTCAAGCCAAAATGTCTGTCTCGTGCCGAATTTTTTTCTTTATTGGTGGATTGTTTCCCAAGTCACGAATCATAAAAGAATACTTTGACAAGACAAGATTTTAAATTTTAAAAAACCATAAATAAATAAATAAATAACCCTTAGGGCCTGACTTAGATATGCTTATGCTTGTAAATGAGCCGAGTCGAGCTCGAGTTTAGGGTAGTCGAGCTCGAGCCCTTAAGCTCACTTCGTTAAATAAACGAGTCAGAAATCAAGCTCGAGTTTGGCTCGTTAAGGCCTCGAGCTCGAGCCTTAACGAGTCGAACTATAAAAAATTATATAAAATTCTCTTTTCGAGCCTACTGAGTCGAGCCAAGCTCGGCTCATTAACCAAACGAGTTTTATATGAGCTCGAGCTTGGCTCGTTAAGACCTCGAGCTCGAGCCGAGCCAGACTCGTTTATGCTAAACAATAGAGCATTTCGCAAATACTAGTTGGTTTAGCTCCTGAAGCTTTCAGGTAATTAACTCGTTCGTTTACTTAAATGAATAGAACTCGAACAACTAATCAATCTCATGTACTAAAATGAGTCGAGACGAACTTGTTTGTGAATATGTTTTTTTTTTTAATTTAACTTTTAATAAGTTTTAAATGAAATAGTCGATTTGAACTTGTTCGTGAGCAACTCGCTTTTTTAGATTTAATAAATGAGTCTAGCCGAATACTCATTTATTAAACGAGCACGAGCTCGAACATGAGCTACTCAACTCGACTCGAATAACAACATTGGGATCCTGCCTGCTCAAGTGGTTCTTGTTATTCCCCTTATATTTTGTCCAGTTTTACATTTTTACTGATAACTATTATCTTCGAGATTTCATTTACATTTAGTCCACGCTTTTTGATCTCATTGTCTAAATGTTGGGTTAGTTACATTAGATACAAAATATACACACTTTATACTATTTAATTTTTTTCACGAAAATCGTTGTTAACTGATCCAATGTATCGGAAATTCGGAATGACTTGAGACTAATTAGTTTAACCATAATTTTTTATTTAGTTGAATAAAAATGACATATGATGTAACATGTCAAAATAGAGCCCTTTTCGACATTTCACTTAAAAAGCATGTAGTTTAATTTGATCAAATCAAAAAAGCATCTTTGACATGATATCTAAAGATGATGTAACAAGCCAACACCAAAAACCAACACTATCACCACAAATCTGCCAAAGCCCCAACCAAGAATCAAACAATGTTAACTTGCAAGCACAAGTATCCATTTCCTATGGCATATATACTGAAACCGTTAACACTTAAAACCCATCAATGTAACTGTACTCTACAGTAGTTCACACACGGGATAAAAAGGTAAAAAAAAAAAAAATTACTAGTAAGGATGTGGATAGGGATTATAATATGCCGAACGCTGTACATCCGTAGGCAAAGGCTGTCCAGGAGGAGCCGGATGGCGGTGGTAAATACCAGCATGCTGCACGTCATTTGTGTAACTTCCATAATTTGGTTCAACATTCATTGGTAAATTTACCGGAGGTCTCTGCAGATAAGGGTGTGGGTAAATCCCCGAATGCTGCACATTACTAGGAAAGCTTCCAACAGGCGGCCGGGAAATTGGTGTCCCGCGCGAGCCTGCTAAGGAATGCACAAATAAAAGAATCATTAATATCACGGTCAGTGGAAAATTATTAACAGACGTAAAAAATTTTACGGTGATTTACTTCTTTAATCAGATAGTAAGCAAAGATGAGTGGTTCTTATAAGATAAAATTCGTTTACCCACCGTATGGAAAATGTGGCCCCCTAGGCTGATTAGCATATCCATAGTTGCTAGTAGAGTACGATTGTGAAGACATTATTGGGTTGGGCTCGGCAGTAATGCTTCGGCTCGAATTAGGTAAAACTCCAGTATTGTAACTAGCATTAGGTGCTCCGTAATGTTGATAGGCATTGCAAATGCCACCGTAGTTTGGGGTAGAAGGGTAACTTTCATATGGGGCTGCTGACAGATGATGAGAAGAATATGAGCTCTGATAACTCTCACCAATTCCTGCAGCAAATTGAAGAAAAAAAGAAAAAGAAAAAAAAGGGGATGACAGGATTTAAGAGAAGAATCAAAAAATTGCCTTGATTTCCAAATGAAGTTACCAGTATAATACTGAGTTGAGCTTTTCCCACGTGAATCCACAGGTATGCATGGTTTTTCATGCATTGCTTTCTTCATCTCGTCCAAGATTCTTTGGGACTCGTCACGACTAAGTTCCACGAACCAAACCTTTACAACATGAAAAAAGCGTGTTAACATTACAATGCAAGAAACAGAGACAATTAAAAGGTTACCTCATTTTGTTTCAAGTTAAATACCTGATCGAAGTACTCATCAGCCATATGCATGTCCTTGCTCGTGGGAAGATTAAAATTGACTGCCAAATGAACAGTTCAAAAATTCAAATCACCAAAAGCAATTTTATAGCCACCCAACAAAACCAAGAATCTGCAAAGTGAGAATACCTAACATCTCATTTACTGCTTCATCAGGAACTGCTTTTCCCATCTCTCGAAATCTCTTATCACCACGAAATTTGAGCTCCTCTGCTCTTGGAAAGACCACAGCAGCAATCTGATGCAATGAGATGGTAAAAAAAATCCCACATTAAAATTTTAAACCATTTTTATCACGCATTAGAACCCAAGAACCAGACGACAGGAGATTCTAGCATTTTCAATTACCTTCATAAAATCTGCAAACGGCTTCAGTTTGCGTTTGCGAGCACTCTTGTACACATTAGTTTGATCAATAATGAAATTACGAGGTATTTTGGAAGCTCTGGATAGAAGGGTATTGAAAATCTTGGTTGCACGATTCATCAAGAGTTCAAATCGTTCACCGTAATTACCCTTGCGCAGCAAACCGGGCACCTGGATGGATGGAGATCAACGCAACTAAGAACTTCAGCAAAAGAAAGACAGTAATTAAAATGGAGGAGCAAGAATAGATAAAAGCAAAATGGGCATACCTTCATTTGTTCCAATACTAGGTTCGTCCCAAGAAGAACATATCGTTTTTCAGGATGCTCCTTAACCCATTTTTCCGCCCATGTAGTCTTTCCAGAAGCAGGCAAACCCACCATCATTATCACCTCACAATCATTGATATTCGAAAAGGCTGGCCCCAAAATAGCATTACCATCCATAACTGCAGCATCCCAGGGTTTATAACCTTCTACTGGATTCAAACCGTCAGCAATGCTGAACTGCAATTGGACCACAACGTTTTTCAGCAAGACATGTGGGAAAAGAGCTGATTCCCAGTGAAGCCTTTTGACAGGAGAGCCCACTACCCCTAAGCCATTTGGACCCGCATCAAAATGTTTTGCTACCCCCAACCAGACACCGTTTTTCGAGAAGCTAATAGAAGCCATGGGGGAGTTTTCCAGGTCAACAGCACAAACTATGGTGTCACCAACTCCAAACTCTTCACCGTATTCGAGGAAGCTCCCTGAATTAGAGAATTTCCCAGTGCCGCCATAGCCGAAGCTGTAAAGAGTCTCTCCCATATTTCGAACATCCTCATCTCCTCTCGATATGCCAACACGACAGATGTTTTGCGAATCGAGTGGAGTATCTTCCATGTGAACAGGTTGAGCTGATATTATCTTGCAGCCAAAGCAATATTTCCCTCCTCGTATGCCGATATTCGCCCGAGCACCAGACCAACAATAAGCAAACCCTTCCTCATAGAGTGCCGAGCCTACAAGACCATCTCCTTCGACTGTAAAATCTGTAAATAAATAAAAGAATCACATTAGTCTCATGACTACATTCAAAGCACACATTCGATAGTTACTGACAAGTCATACAGCATCAACATTCACATGAGCTAAACTAACTATTCCGGTATAAACAAGCTACATCTTGATCAACTGACAACATTGCTCATGCAGATTTGACGAACAGATCAATGACCTTGTAGGCCTAATAAGATAATTACAGGAATTCAGATGAAACCCATAATAGACTCTCACAGGCTTTGCTTACTGTTGGCAAAGAAAGATGACGAGTTCTGGTTTAATCATCGAATTTCCAAGCAAATCATTCTCATCTGGTTTCTTTACTTGACAATCTACAGACAACATTGATATTGTGCCTCCCAACCATAGATAGTAAAATTCAGATCATCCAGATAACATTTCCGTGAACAGAACAAGTGTAGTTAAAGATTACATATCTGCGGCATACTCACGTTCGATCACTACAAAATAAACGCTAACTGGACAGTTCCCGACCGAGGGTTTCTCAGATTCCCTTTACGGATTATCCTCAAGGTTCTTTTACTTTCAACCTTGCACTCAACCTCTCAATTCCCCCTTCAAGATTCAATCTTTTTCTTTATCACTACGTCAATTATAAATTTTGAGAGTCATAAATTGATCCCCTTTTAATTTCAATAACCCCGAGTCATCTGAAATTAGGTCAACAGCAGTGACATACGTTTTCTGAAACAAGGAAAAGGACAACTGGCTGCAAAGTGCAAAATTCAAACCCTATGCTTGTACTTCTCAACAGTCATCAACGCAAACAATTGAAATTGAACGGCGATGTTCTCCACGAGACATAAAATACATAGAATTCAGATAATTTCGAAAAGAAAAATAAAGATAAAAACAATATTGATCAACAAACCTATATCGCAATCGGCCGGATTAAGAACAACCCATTCTGAAACCCTAGCTTTTTTCAATTGGGAATCTTCGTAGAACGGAAGCTCGCGTTTCGCTGACGCCATTTTCGCACACTATGTGAGTGTATGTGTGTGTGTTTGTGTGTGTGTGTGTGAGCGCACGCAATCCGTCGTGTGCAGATTACAGAGAGAGAGAAAGGGAAGAAGGCAAATATGGCGCTCAGAGGTGGCTTTATATACGGAGAAAAGACGAACAGTAGAAAGAGGTGGGGTCGGGTTAAAAACTTGAAATCCGTTCATGATATTTTATTTTATTGAGCGAATTTAGAGAACCGTAGGGTGCTAACTGCAGAGGGTAAATGGCCGACTCAAAGCATTGGGGCAAATTTGGTAATTTGATGTTCTTTCAGTATATATCTCAATATTAATTGAAAAAATAATAAAGTTATATTTATCAATTAACTAAAACTTATCTATTAAATTTATTATATAATAATTTAATATAATATTACTTCAATACACGGGTGTTACCTGTTAGACTTTGAAAAGTATAAAATAATAACTAATTTAAATTATAAATATTTTTAAAAGTTAATAGTTTTATATTTGTTATCAGGATTTTTATATCAAAAAATTAATTTTATTTTTATTTATTATAAAATTAAGTCATCTTTATTTTTAGTTATTAAAAAATTAAGATTATATATCAATTGAAAAAGCATATGTAAATCATTACATATGAATTAGAAAATTTATTATAATATAAGCCATAAAATAATACAATTGAAAAATATTACTTTAAATATAAATAATTATATCATTATAAAAATTTTGAAATTTAAATAAAATAAATTTTCTCTTAAATTAATTAAAAAAATCAGTATAAATTTTTTAATTAGCACCCGTGTTGTCACGGTGTTTTACTAGTTTCAATTAAGATATTATGACAATTGGACTCTAATGATAAGATTATGTTAGCTTGAGCCAATTACCTACAAAATATACAATTTTATATATTGATATACATTATTTTAATAAAGTATAATCAACCAATTCACCCGGGACTTCACTGCGCTTCGCTTCCTCAATTACAGCTACTCATGCCCTATCCGTAGGTCATCGGTGATAACAATATCGGCTAATATCCTACTTTTAGTCTCAAAGAGATAGTAAGATTATTTGTTATTAATAAAATAGAAGAGATAAATATGATACTGGATTAATAGTAATTTTATTGAAAAAATAAATATAGCAGATCGTATTTTTAACAAAAACAAAAATATAAATCCGGCAATACAAAAACGAAAATAACCTATATCCAATCCCTCATGTAATAATGATTTTATCTACTAACAACCTTAAGTTGATATGATATAAAATGTAAAAAATATGTAATAGAAAGATAAAAATATTTGTCTTGTGAATGATTTCTTTATTAAAAAATATTCAATAATAATTATTTTATTTTAATTGCAATAGTGAAATCATAAAAAATGAATATTATTTTTTTAATAAAAAATTGTCATCGTACTATCATTTTTATTTAGATAAAACGGCAATTCTTGTATGAATTGATCGAATTGGAATAAAAAAGCTTATACGTCTCGTTTGACTATTAGTTGATAGCAGATAATATATTTTTATATTGAATTAATGGATAGTTGATCTCAAATTGTAATAGCTACTTTGAGTAGCATTTTGTAAATAACTGGTAAATACCGATTTATATAATTATTTTTAAATTTTATGTTGACATGTTATTCTACAAAATCTCCTATATTATCTTTTTTAGTTCAAAAAATTAATCAAATAAATATTTACCAAATAAACTAGTTATCAAATTTGAAGGGTCAAATTTCTAAGTGTAATTCCAATATGCTATTTTACGTCAATCCCTTAGACATTAACAAACCAAATCCCCTATCAAAATGTAAATTCGAAAACCAATCAGACGAAGATGTACATTTTCTCCTCATTAATAATAACCTTAACATGGACCCAGCTCAACTGGGCCAGCCCAAGATAAGCTGCGAGTCTCGGCCCATGATCATCGTGAATAGAAGCCTCTGAACTCCCCAATGGATCTTGTGTATAAAATTAGAGCTGCTAAAATGAAACCAGTTGCTCTTAAGCTCGGTTTGGCACGTCAAGGTTCGACCTCATTTTTGCTTGTCTGATAAACGAGTCTTACTCGATCTCTTTTAAAGCTCGTTTACTTAACTATCTAAGCTCGTCTGTATATATTGTATTAATTTTGATTCGAATTGCTTCAAAACGAACAAGTTACAATTTTGCCAAGTCAAAACAATATGAATTTTTATCAATATTGATATAGCACCTAGTAATGATTCGGTGGACCGGCAAAGAGCTGCTCGGTTTTGTAAGGTCGGAGTTAAGAGATCAGCTCGAGCGAAGTAGCAGCTCGGATTAGGTAGCAGCAGGAGCTCGGCCGTATAACTACATTAGGAGCTCGGTCTGATGGACCTTGCAGTAGCTCGGCCTTGTGAACATGGTTGTAGCTCGGTTGTATAATTATATTAGAAGCTCGGGATTATATGAGCTCGGTCCAAGTAGCAGCATCAGCTCGCCAATAGACTTCAGATTCAAGGAGCTGGTCGAAAGCCGAGCACATGTGATGGTTATAAAATTGGGATTCGCACGGAACACGTGTAGGATCAGAATAAAAAAGAATAATAGATCCAACGAAGGAGAAACAAAACGTGTTGGGAAAGCTAATAACTTCATATAAATAGGTAAACCATTGGAGGGGGTAAGGTTAATCAATCTACAAAACTCTAAATTCTATACACAGCTTTCCTCTACCTTCTTTGATCTTCTACTGACTTGAGCGTCGGATGTTTACCGCCGGGAGCACCTCCCGATGTCTTTGCACGTCTTGGAGCGGTCGAGGATTGGAGGGAAGCCGGTTCAAGTGCAGAAGCACATCAATATCCTGAATAATTGAGAACAACTAAAGACAAAGTCCTAGAAAAATTATGTAAACAAATATAATAGCAAATCTTAGCAATCCCTTCCGATCTCGCTTGGGCCTGTTCTTAGTGGATTCATCCTTATTAGTCTTTCGGCCCAGCCCCGACAGCTCATCTTGGTAAAGTCAATATCAATTGACTTGAATATGGGACTGTTGATACGTTGGTATCAAGCAAATTTTCACTGTTAATTTCCTGAAGTCATTTCATTACATTTGCTTCTTGTCATAAAATCATACAACTTAATTGATGGCAGGGCATTTGTTCTGTTTGCGTTTGAGAAGCACAAACAAGTTGAACTCTGGTATCGACAATTCTTGTGGAGTTTTTTGAGGAAAAGCTGGAACACTTGGTCTAAGATTTCGTGCCCAAAGTGCATCCGTATTTGGTCCTCTGCCACGGTTCGTACGCTGAGGGACGCGGCTCGGGGCTCGTAATCGGAAGCTTCTGTTTCGGGTAAACTCTCCATTTTCTCGATCGTGGTGAAATGCCCTTTTTGAGTGATGACATCTTGCAGCTCGTCTGGTGAAGCAATGTAGATTGGCCAGTTGAACGTGTTGACCTTCTCGTCATCGATTAATCCCTACACATCGGATCAAATCCGATGTAGCATTTTCATATACAGTGCCTTAGTTACATAGCTAATAAGTAGCAAATGCAAAGATAAAATATAATTACTTTTTTTTTTTAAGTATGAATAATAACTATTTAGCTTGTGAAATGACAAAACTACCCTTAGTCCCAGATGTTTCAATTACTTCTAAAATCATTTTCCAAAATTTTCTTGATTTTTGTAGAATTCAAAACATCGTTTATGTGTTCTAGAAATCATTTCTGGAATTTCAGAAATTAAATACAGAATTCAAGATATTATTTAAATGTTCCAAAAAGAAAATGGTTCGAGCGTGAAGGGGGTATTTGGGTCATTTATCATGCCAGAAAACGGCTATAAAAACCAT